TGTATCTTTCCTGTTCTTTGCTTTTTAGCTTGAACACAGTAGATATCATTACTCTATGCTTGTGAACTTCCTGGTTGAAAAATATACTGAATTGTTCTATTTATGCTTAAAAGTTTTGATCTCGGGCCAGCCGAGTGGTGCATTGGTTAAGCGTTGGCTTGGGACGCCAGCTCTGAGCACCAGGGCCCGGGGTTTGGATCCCACATGAGGGCCAGTGACGCTGCACCCTCTACAGCTAAGTGAACAATGGTGAACAATGGCTCGACCTTGAGCTGGGCTGCTGTGAGTCGTTGGCGATGGCGTAGGCTGCAGTGGAGTTGCAGTGGGCTGCTGTAAAGCTACCGTGAGTGGCATGAGCGGCCTGCAGCCAGTGTGAGCTGCCAAGAGACGCCGTGAGCGGCCGTACAGTGGCAGGCGAGTGACTGCCTCACCCGGGAAGAGCACAATGATAATACCAACATGGGCCAGTGAAGCGACATCCTCCACAACTAGACTGAAGAACAAAAAAGGACAGCAACTTGTCTGATCCTCTTCCCCGATTCCCCAACGCTGTTCCCCTCCCCCAATTCCCAATAAAATCTTTAAAAAACAAAAAATTTTTATCTCTACAATTCATAAAAATTGATTTTCATAGATTATCCTATATTTCAAGATAACCTTTGTCATAAACAATTTATTTTGAAGCCTCATCTATTCCTAATAAAAATGTGAATACCTTTTACCTTTTTTACCTATCATACATTAATTAAAAATAACCCTATTTTACATTTAATAAAATCTCTCTAGCTCAACCTTACTTTCTATTATTCTGACACTCAAAAACACAATAAAATGAAAACTGATAAAAATTAGGTTCAACAAGTTCTTTGTAATGTAAAGAAGAAGTCTGTAAGAAATCTATCTTGCACCCTTTTCAAAGGGGATTCACTAGCTAAATAATTAACAGAATTTCATTAGAAAGTAGCCAGCCAATATAGCATAGACTTATAAAGAGTATTACAGTTCATTTTTGTTCCTTGAAGTCTATCATCCCTAAAACCATGATTTCTATAGAAGCACGTAGGAAGTGTTTGTGTATCAGGAAATACTGATAGGTACCTGATTCTACAAATCTCTTACCACATTTGTAGACTGAAATAAGTAAAACTGATAATGAATACATTAAAGGCACCCCCCCCCTCCATTTCTGGGGTCAAACTTATCTATTTAACTGAATTAAGGGCTTCTCTTTTTCATTATTTTTAAAGATAATCATTAGATTGCTGTCCTGTAGTTAATGATAAATTTACTTTTTTTTTTTTTTAAGATTTTTTTATTGGGGAATTGGGGGGATGGGAACAGACAAGTTGCTGTCCTTTTGTTCTTCAGTCTAGTTATGGAGGACGTTGCTTCACTGGCCCAAGTTGGCACCATCATTGTGCTCTTCCCGGGCAAGGCAGATCAGTCGCCGGCTTCTGGGCGGCTGCTCATGCTGGCTGCTGACCATACACCGTAGCCCGTGGCAACCCACTGCACCAGGGGCTGCAGCCTACGCCATCGCTGGCTACTCACAGCAGCCCAGCTCTAGGTTGAGCTGTTGTTCAGCATCTTAGCTGTAGAGGGCAGTGTCACTGGCCCTCATATGTGGGAACCGAACCGGGGCCCTCTGGCGTCCCAAGCCAGCTCTTAACCATTGCACCATTCGGCCGGCCCACTTAAATTTCAATAGATATGAGCTCTCATACCTCTAATGTTACTGTACTATACAAAAAGTAAATATTTTCAACAATTTTTTTTAAGTAGTTGGTTTTATTTACTGGTTAAAAAAAAAAAGACTGCATGAGAGTTCATTTTTCCACAACTTATCAATGAAACCAAACAGAATGTGTTACTAATACATATACCCTTCCAAACTTTCAGAGCTGGCTTTGTAATGTAATTTTCATACTTTCCCATTAACTTGTTTGTAATGTCAACAAATTTTTGCTGTTAATAATATATGCATAATCACTACCTTAAGCTCAGAAATATAGTCAACAATGATTAACTTATACAAAATAACTATGGTTCATACTGCAGGTATTATCTTCTAGCAAAAAATAATCATCTCCTAAATTTCATTTGTAAAATATGTATAGTTTTCAAATACCACAGTTGCAAATTTTGAAATGCTTTAAACAAAATTAGAACTTATGGAACTATTATTGGTGAGGTTTGCTGATAGGTTTTAAGGGGGAATAGAAAAATATGATGGAGAAATGTATTTTCCAATGCAAATGTTTTGTTATGAGAGTGATTAAGAATACTTATGAATCTGCAAATACAACACTTCATTTGCTATCAAATATCCAAAAAAAGATATATAAAGTTTGAAAAACTGTAGCAGTAACATGTAAAATCATTATATATAATCTCCATGCATTAGAAAAACTGAATGATTACCTTTATTAGATTATAAGGGGTATTAGTACTTATTTTAATAAATAAGAAACTGTGTTTTACATTATATATGTAATACAAGCAAATTTTAGAAAATATGAATAATGAGAGAAATTAGAAAGAAAAAAAATGGTACACTGTACCACCAAACATTACATCCATCATTAAATTTTGACACATTTCCTTCCAGTCTTTCAAATATGCATAGTTTTGTTTTTATACACACACACACACACACACACACAGAGCCATTGTGCCATTTATACAACTTGTATAAAGGCAGACATATTATAAACACATACAGATCACCACTGCATGGTAATAGCGTCTTTGTCCCAAACTATATTTTACATCTTCTATAAAATTTAGGCCAATTAAAGTTATTAAACACAGTCACTCTAACAAAAATATATATTCTTTGTTCATTTTCATATACTCTATAATTACATACATTTCTAACTATATGCTTATATATATTGATCATAACATATATAGAAATGTGTATGGCTATACAACTATATGCACCTCTAATTAACTAAACATTTTTTAAATTACTTACCTTTATTGTTGTTCTCTAAAAGTACCCTAAAATGAATACGACCAATTTCTTTTTAACTGAGAGAAGTGCTCTCAAAATTGCTAATACTTTCCCTTATCAGTCTGATAAAATGTTGGCAGCTTAACATACTCTGGATTTAGTAATTCATCATATTTCCTTAAATGGAATTTATCTCTCAACAAGATAATATGCATTTGGAAAACACTGATTATGTTTAATAAAAAGTGAATGGATGTCAGAGAATATTCTGCTCTGCCTAATGAAGCTTTAGAGATTAAGTCTAATTATCACTGATACAAAACTAAAAATCCTTTATGTATTGAACAGCAATTAGCATTCCTCTCAGAACAAAAATCTATTGATCTTAAAAACAAAGATATCTTTGGCATAAGTAAGACAAGTAAGGATTTGATAACAAGAATGAAAAGATTAAAAATTGAGCATTTTTAAGTAAAATTATGATTGCCTTCTAATGTTCTGTGACTAAAAAACCAATCCAGTATATAAAGAGTGTGTAAAATAACACTATGGTTCTAAAACTCCGAGAATCTGCTTGGTGACAGATTTAGTCTAAGTTACACTCTTTTTTTTTTTAAGTTTTAAAAATAGAAAAATCCTCAAATATATTTCCATAAAGAAGTTAAACCTCAGATAAATACATTTTCACATTTCAGAATTACCAATAAAGGGACAAGTAGATCTGGACATAACTTGTTCCTTAAAAAATCATGGACACCAACGAAAGGCAGGTTATACAATGAATGAATGCAAAACAACATTGTCAGACACCTCTAGTTCTCTTTATGTTCTGCTGGGTTGAGGCTATGTAATCTTGGAAAAAATTCCCTTAATCTTTGAGCTCTCAAAATAAACCTCTGGCAGAATGAGTAATGTCTTTTCTCTTTCTATAACTATAAAATTAGAGGGTAAGACAGGATGGAAAAGCCTGCCTATTCACAACAGAAAATACTAATTGCCAGAAAAAAATTCTTTCTGGTTATAATGGGCCAAAAGGAAGAAAGGTTCAATCAAGAAAATATCAACTTCAGTTGGGTGAGCATTTTAACCTTTTGGAAGATTTTCATGCATACGTTCTCATTTTAACTTCACCATAATCCTATGAAACAGAAGTAAAATTGTTGTCTCTGTTTTGCAAGTAAAGAAATTGAGGGTAAAGGAGGCATTATTTTGTTATTGTTTGAAGTCACAGAAATATTTTACGGATTAGCAAGAATCTAGGTCTTCTCACTCCTTAACTAGGACCTTTTAGTGGAGTTGATAAAGTGAAAATAAGCATATGCAACTGAATCCAAGTAAGAAACAAAGGCAAAATATTAAAGAGAAAATATAGGAAATGAGGTCTAGGTGACGGGTTCTTTGTTCTGATTAATGAGGTTGTACACTTTACCCTCAAGCTCAAAGGGAACTGTGGTGATATTTTCAGAAGTGTGTAAAATTAACTTAAAAATTCAATTTCTGCAAAAAGCAGAAATTTCACTTACCAAATACTAAGGAAATTCTGCCTCTCCCCGCAAATGATCAAACTTGTGAAAATGGATCATGTCGCATGGCATAATCAAATAATAAGATCTTTCCAAAAAACTAAGGCATATTTGTCCTCTTTTGGTCTGATTTATAATAACATCTTTTTCCTATTCAAATTCATTTTTAAAAAACCGTTTACCTTTCCGGAAATTAACACTTTCCTATATTTATATTTATATTTCCTATATTTCCCATGAACATGCAGATACTTTTATACCTGTATAAACTAAAATTATTGACATCATTAATAAACAGGAAAAAGTTTACTTAAAATATCTGAAAAGATCCATTACGCCAAAGTTCCCTGTTACTGTAACAGCAAACTGAGGCCTACGTGAGTGTTTACCACAAAGGTTTATGTATAGCTATACAAATTAACTGACAAAAGGCAATGTTCCAGAGTGTAGTGAAATTTAATTCATTCAGGTTATGGTACTACTTTTTGGTTCAAAGACTATACTTTTTAAAAAGTGGATACCTGCGGTCCATCTCTGGCTTCATAGAAGTCACCCACTCTTATTTTTGCACTGAAGCTGAAATTGTCCCTTGAGATATCCATTATTCCATTTCTGCTGAGATACTGAAAAAATCACATATTTTTCCACTTCAGGTTTTAATAATTACAACCCAGCCTTGATGTATAGCTAGCTATCTTCAGGAGACTAATGTTTTGCATATTCTATCAAGGGGCTATGGATTTTATAGGAGATAGATTTAAGTTACATACATTAGTTCCATACAGAGAATATTTTGCATCGAGGAACTTTATCTGAGCAAGCAGAGCACTTTTTTTCATAAGCATGCCTAATAGGCACCAAATGTATGTTATTTGGTGAAAGGTATGTACCTTTATTACTTCAGGGTACTGCCTAAGTTTCTTTCCACATGGAGCATAATATGCTACTTCTCCTTGAAGGCGCCCTCCAAAGTTTCTTATTCTTGTCTCTCTCTGCCAGCTACACATAATAGAAATGAGGGTTATAACATACTCAATTTAAGAAAACTTATAAAAATTAAAAAAAAAAAAGTTGAGAACACGTCTTTAGAAAATATAAAAACTGCTATGAAAACAAATATAAACTCCAATCATAAGACTCAGATACATTAACTGTTAAAATTATTTCAGTTTTTAGCTAAATAATTCAACTAAAAATCAAAGACTCAAGTTACAAACACTAAACTCCATTAAATTTTTTAGAAATCATAACTGGTATTACTTTGGCTATTGAGACATATTCAATAAAGTGTCAATGTGTGCTGATTTTTTTATAGGTGACAAGCTTTAATTGAGAAGAATAAAGTAAACCTAGCTTTCTGCTTTGGAGGATCATGTACTTCCAGTGTGAAAATTCTTAGTTCCAATTAATCCATTTCACCCAATCTCTGGTCAAGTCCATCAGTTTGACCCACAATGGCTTTCCCTGTCATTTAATTCTATCTTCACAAAAACTTGACCCTCTTAACCGTGTCTTCGCCCTTTGCCAAATGATTTGCTCTTGCTTCTTTTTCAGTCATATTCCCACCTGGCTGCATCTTATCCCAGCTCTACCCAACAGCAGTTGGCCTTAATTTCAGTTTTCTGACATACTAACCTCTTTGCCCTTTCTTCTAGCTCTTTTGCACTAATAAATACTATGCAGTAGTTTCATTACTTTGATTAATAGTAGAGAATGAGAAATCAAACATGCATAAATATGTGGGGGAAAAGCATACCCATATTCCAAAGGAATACGCAGTTCACGTTCATCTGTTACTCTTCTTCTTTTGGAAGTGCCTTCAAGAGAATTCAACCAGTTAACATCAGATTAGTTTACACAGATGTCAATGTTTTGATAGTTTTGAAACTTTTCTTTATATAAAGTATCTTAATGACTTGGATTAGTGTTATTTCTACAACTTGTGCATTATTTTTAGATGATTTTCAACCAAACATTGTATAAAGTAGAGGATTTCTTTTTTTCTTCCGTCTACTTGACAGAAAAAACTGATCTTTCTAAAGACAGGACGATGCAAGGTAAAAATATATAGCTTTCCTCTCATTTTGTTATTAAAAAATATCTAAAGAAGTAGGATGAGAATAGTAGAGGTTTCAGAAAACAATGTACAGTTGTTTTCTCTGAAAATGAGTTTTAAGATGCTAAAAAAATTTCAACAGCTGGCTAGTACATTTAAACATAATATAACATCTATGTTTATATAAATCCACAGTCAAAAACACCACTAGGTCTTTTAATTCATCTAAAGTACAAAGGAATCAGATTATATGTAAAATTTTTCATAGACAACAACTAAGTTTCACAAATACAAACACGTACATTTTAAATTAGAAGAATATCACACTGGCTTGTGGTAAATGAAAGCAAAACTAGAAATTTCCAAGAAAAGAGTGGAATAAGTAAAACAACACAGTATTTCACTATTCACCTCTATATTTTTTTAGCTACTAAAATGAGAATTGAGAATAGTTTCAGAATATTAATGTAAAAACTTGTAAGGAAGACCTCTAGAAGTTTCTAAAAGGTCAAATAGAAAAAAAAGATGTGGTGTGTTAAAGGGATACTAATGCTACTCACTAAGTGTAAATGACACTGGCTCTGTGTTGGGCAGATATGCAGTTGTATCTTAAGTAACCAAGTGAGCTCATTTTTATCAAGTACAGAAAAGTACACTGTCCATCCAACACTAAATTCTAGAAGCATAAACTAAACATAGAAGCAGGCAAGTATTCGAAATCAAGAGCAGTCATCATGCAGGTTCTTAAATTGGAAGCACAGAGAATAAAAATGGTAATGGGTCATACCCTTTGAAAATACATGCTGACCCTTTCATAGCCAACCTAAAATCTAGCCGTAACACTTGATTCCAATGAGGTTGTCCTCAGAACACTGCATAAATAAGAATTCTTGCTATGGTTTGCCTTCTACTTTACAATAATAAAAATAAAGTGTAGGTACCAGAGTGTGGACTTGAAGTAAGTGTGGAAGAAGGTGTGCCAAGAAAAGCAGGTGACTGGGATTCAGAACATAAGGCAGCAGGAGCAGAGCCTGGGGCTTTTGCTATGTGGAGGTTACGAGGTGTTGAGTGAGCTGTGAGACTGATGGAAGGGCTTTTGACAGAGGAGGTGGTTTTATTCAGTTTCATTGAAGTTTTCTCTCCTTCAGTATCACTATCTGATTCATCTTGGTCTTTATCATCATCATCATCATCTTCTGATCCTTCTGTATCTGATTCTGAATTACTATCTGATTCTGGGAAAAGAAGCATTTGTATATTATAACTAGATAATCACCAACAGTTTGCAATTTGTATCTAAATGGAATAGTTCAGGAATCAGCATCTGTGAATGAGAACTCAAATGAGCCACCTTCCTGAAGAGTAAATGTAAAAATTACTATCTTACAAGCGATTTGAGTACAATGTATGCAGGCTATAAGTCCTCAAAACTTCATTAATAGTATCCATTTTACTCAAAAATTTAATCATAAAACAGGTCTTCTCATTTGTCACTATTCACATGATGCGTTCTGCTTAGCAGCTTCAAATCACTTTTAATTTAATGGAGAAACTAAAGTGCAGAGGGAATATAATTGACTATTGAAATTAATAGATCCCAAAAGCTTAAGAAGTATATAGTAGGTTCAGCAGGAGAATGGGAAGAATGGGGCTATCACGTCCTTTCACCTGGACTTTGAGATACAAGAAAAACCCTTCTGGGGGAGATGCTTGGCTTCATTGGCTTCAGTTTTTCTGTGCCGATGTGAGACTTCATCAGGCTTCACAAAAGATTAGGATTACAGAAATAATTGTAAGAGATAATTTAGTGATTTCGTAATTCAAGTTTGTTCTAGCAATGTCCTATAAATGTATCCACTCCTACGGATATGTCAAGTCTATTCCTGGATGAAACATATTAAACATAGGACTGATATTTGTACTTAATGGTTTCCAGAACAACAGCTTTTGCAGAATTGGGTTTTGTGTAGTATGATCTGACTATGTTAAACTTCATTATAAAAGTTGTCTTTGAAAGTTTGTTAATATTGACATTCATTATCTATCATGTAAAGTTGTATTTATGGGAAAACCAGGAAAAAAAAAACATCAGGAAAAGTTGTTCTTACCCCGAGCAAGGAGGTTGTTTTTACCTTTACACACTTTAATTGTACGACTGACTATATTTTCCTATTTTTATTGGAAGCTAGGAAATGTACAGTTGGGTTTGTGGCTGACCAGTCACAAACCCAAAAACTTTTACAATATGTATTTTATCTTTGTATTTAAAATTTAAGCTATCTTAGATTTTATGTTTTCAATCCTCTGTTGTACAGGAAGGAGGCTTAAAGGGAGGAAAAATAAAAAGAAGTGAATAAAAAAACCCCACAAAAACCCAAAATCTAGAAACGGATATCAAAATAAAGTAGGGGTACTCTATGTTATTAAATAAATTCTGTGTTACTAATCGACATTCACAGGAATTTAGGTTTTTAGTACTTTCTGAATGGCTGTGACTACAATTTTACCTTTATTAAAAATATATAGCGACACATTTTAACAAGTAGCAGAAAAGAGGAAAAAAAAGGACAAATGAGAGATCTTGAATTAAATAAAAACTAAATCTGTGAAATTATTTCTTAATTCATGAGTCATTTATATTCACTTTACAGTTATTATTTGTTTAACGTTAAATGAATAACGAAGCTGAGAATTTAACTTGAGATTTCCAATCTCAGTTACTCCTATTTTACCAGCTCACCACAGAAACACATGCAGCTGCATGAAACAGCGAATGACAATGATTGTAAGACTGTGAATGAAGAAACTCTTTAAAAACATTTTGGCTCAAGAGCAGTCAGAGAAACACTTTAAATTTTAAAACAGAAAATAACCTGATTGGCTGTCATCAGATTCGTCATCTTCATCATCTTCCTCATCTTCTTCTTCATCGTCTTCCTCTTCATCTTCATTGGAATCTTCAGAATCTTTACTGCTGGGAATGTCTGAATCTGTTCCTCGAAACTGTTCCACTAACGATTTTGCAGGATGAGAGTGATGCTGGGCTTTTCCTGTGGTCACGTTATTGCCTGAGGCTTTTTCCTTCCCCTGACCAAGCAGGATGGGAGAGGCTGAGGGCATTCCAGTTGTCTGACTGCCAGGGGTCCTTCTTCCACCTGTACTCAGATTTACAGGTGAGGAAAAAGGGGTGCCACTTGCCGTAGCAATGTTCTCATTCATCTTACTCTGCATCTTAGTTTTGGTAGTAAGCGCGAGAGGGGCTTCTTGAATGACACTTTGAATAACTCCATTTGGTTGGTGATTACCTAAAAGTGCATTTGTCAAGAATGGATTAGGGTGGTTGTTTTCTAATGTCTGTTTTGGATGTGCTGGTGAACTAGAGGTTCCTTTTGGATTTGACAAAGCTGCAATAACCTTCTTCAGGCTCTTAGACGACTCCTGCTTCTTTAACTGCGCTGGAAATGTCTGTTTATATTGTTCCTGTTGAAACGCAAGTTAAAAAACAATATGAGAACAAAGATTACTTTTATTTGCCTTCAGTATCTGACAACAGCTGCTCATACACAGGTTTAAATAATGATATACAGGCGCTGTAAAGGCCATGGCAGTGATGACCAACTGCTTGCTAAACTTGGCTAGACACAATGTATTTAAAATCTAATTAGGCTTTCCCCCTTAAGACATGTTAACTGATTGTCCCCCCTCACTTTACTACTGCTCCCCTTTTCTCAATAATCCCAGCCTGAAACTCTGAAATCATCTTTTTTTCTTTTTTCCAAGCCAGCCATATTACTATGTCTTTTGGATTCTTTCCTTAAAATATTGCTCAAATTGGTATTCCTTTACCATCATTTCTTCCCATCCAACTCTCACCGTGTGCTATACACCAATGCCAATTTTATCTTAATATAAGTCTAATTTTATTACATTAGCTCCGTGGTCAAAAGCTTTCATGCCTCCTTCATCATTGCCAACATTATAAAAAAGCCTAAATACTTATTTAAATTACTTTCCAAGTTGGCACTTATATACCTTTTTAGGCTAACTGGACTATTTGTCATGTCCTGTGCATGTCATACTATCACCGCTTCCACATTTTGCTATAACTATTTTCTCTGCATGAAATGTTCTTCCCTTACAAATTTTAAGCTGATGAAATCCTGTCCATTTTTCAAAACCCAACCCAAGAAGCTTTCTGTGTCTGTCCCAGCCAGAAGCACTCACCTTGGTTTAAAACACTTCTGCTCTTGAATTATTATGTGATGTTGGCAAGTGGCTTAACCTCTCTGAGGCTTACTTTCTTTATCTCACATAGTTTCGTAAAGATTATATAAGTTTATACGTGCAGAAAGGCTAGCTTGGCTACATTTATTAAGCAAGTGTTTAATAAGTGATTTTCTAAAACACAGTCATAAAATTCTTTAAATAAGATACATTTAAGAAACTTAAAATATAAAGAAACCTTTCATAATGCAAATACTTCTTGATGTGACTGTAAATTCATTTATCTGAAAAGTGGAATATATATTAATAACAATTAAAATAGCACCCAAAATGTAATTTTTAATTTGCCTAATTTACTAGTGTAGAATCAATAATGTGATGCTACTAATAATACCTCCTGGTGATCGAACAGTGAATTACAACTCATCACATGCATGATATTATGACACCATTGGTCATTCCATTGAGATCAGTGGTTCTCACATCTGGCTGCACATTAAAATCACCTGAGATGGTTTTTAGACATGCAATACCTTAGTCTCAACACAAGAGATCCTTATTTAATTGTTCTGAGGTGGTATTTCTTTTTTAAAGTTTTCCACATGATTCTATTGAATACTTAGGCTTGAGAATTACTCATTTAGATTCTCAAAAAAGCCTAGTTTGTTCTAGTCATTTTTCTTGGACCTTATTCTTACAGTCTTCACAGTAAAATAAGAGTGAATAGCCTAGAACACTGTGACTTTTTTTGAGAAAGAAAGGCAGCATATCATAGTGGTTAAGAAAAAGAACTCTTAGTACCACACTACGTAGGTTTGAATTCTAGCTCCATCACTGACTACCACTGTGATCTTGGGAGAGTTATTTAAGTTCTATGTATCTCAATATGATCATCTGTTAATAGTCATAATAACATTAGTAGCACTAATGAATCAATGCACGTTCAGCACTTAAAACAATGGCTGGCAACTAGTAAGAGCTCTACCAGTGTTATCTAATGTTTAGGATGCCTAATGATAATTTTGTAACCAAAAGACAGGATACTGTGTTCAAAGATAGTATTTTTTCTTTACTCTAGGCTGGTTCTAGAATAAAAAGCACTGATCATTTAATTACTAGAATTCTACTGGACTTGTGGATGTAGACTACACAGTAATATAAAATGAATAGCAACAAAATAAAGATAAAATATTCTCTGATGAGTGGGTCTGGTTTTGTGTAAATAAAACTTACTCAAATATTTTGTATTTCATATAATTCACTAAGAATGGCGAAGGAAAATGAATCTTTATAAAGGATTTTTACACTTAAAATTGCTAAATTATAGGACAACAGAGGTAAATAACTCAAGAATTCATTTCTTTAAAAAAAGAATATCTTGATATTAGAAAAAAAGGACATTGATTTTAAATAAAAGTAATTGTCAAGTATGTCTATTCAAACACTTTTCTCTCCTTATTGCTAAATCATTAAACCAGGGGGAAAAGACATGATTCTGTTGCCAAAAATATATTAAGCAGATGTATGTGTAAATAAATACAAAATCAGAGAAATTTAGCTTTCTGATATGCATGTTTGATTCCTGGAGACAAAGAAAGTATAAAGATAAGAGTAGAATCTAATTTAAACCTACATATTGTTGGATTATATAAAAGCTCTTTTTTGAATAATAAAATGTTCTATGAATAACTTTTAACTCACCCGTTTGGATCGCAATTCACTGGTCAAAGAACTAGATTCTTCAGAGGTATTTTTATTCCCTGCTTTAAGTACGTCAGGAGAAGGAACTATGAGTTTCATGTAAGTTTCCTTTTTGGCTTGGTTTACCAAAGATAAAGGTTTCACATTGGACACCAATCCCGTAGACTGTATTACACTTGTATGTTTGTTCACAGATTCCTCCTTTGCCTGAGAGCTTTGGAAAATAAATGGAAGCTGCTGTGACAAAACCTGAGGCTGCTTCTGCTGGGATTGGAATGATGAGTGAGTCTGGGATTCAGACACAAGAGGTAATGGCTGGTGTAGTCTTTTTTCCTGGGCTTTTTCAGTTGTTTTCTGTCCATCTGCTTTTGGGTCTGAAATACCATGTAATAGCACCTGCAAATAAAAGTTAAAAGTCACCATCTATTAAAACAAAGAACATTCAGCAGTAAAACTTGGAGAGGAAAAAAAGGGAACTTTAAAAAGTGTTTCTAATGACTAATGATAGATCTATAAGGCTCACAAGACCTATACTAAATGTTTCTGTAAAAATGACTCCATCTCCTCTTTTTCCTTCTTTTGCAAAAGTAAGAACTAAAGGCAATAATTAAATTTAAACTTTACAAACTTCGAGAGTCAAGATAAATCAGTTAATCCCTAAATATGAGTAATGTGTGGATACTGCCAAGGGAACTATTTATACCTGGTTGTTACTTTTATGTTGTGCTTCACTCTCTGAATCAGAATCATCATCTTCACTCTCTTCAATACTTTGATCTTCTTCTTCTTCGTCTTCCTCTAGGTCATCTGAATCACTGCTACTAAGGCCTTCACTGGAGGTGTCTGATGACGTGCCCGAATCACTATCGCTGTTGCTAGAACTTTCCACAGCTTTCTTCCTTGGTTTCTGGACAAAGACAACATTTTCACCAAGACTTTAGTTTTAGAAAAAATTCAAGTTTCAGTAAGAAGTATGCTCTCTTCATTTTCAAATGATATTTTCAATATCAAAATGTAATTTCAGGAAAAAGGGAAAAGTCACATGTTGTACTGATCAACAATCAGATCAAATTAACTCATCTGATAGGAATTCTCTGATAAATGTACAAGCAGAGTATTGGAAACATCAATATTACAAAACACAAAGAGTAATTTAGAAAAATAGTTATTCCAATTATGATAAGGAACACATACACTGAAGCTCTATATTTAGTTTTAGTCTTCTTTCTTTATGCAGATAGGGAGTTAGCAGCCCAATATTCACATATAGCATGCCAAACACACCTTTCTTGGCACTAGACTACAATGATGTCAAAGACAGAGTCCTTGCCTTCAAGAAACATATTCTAGTGGTGGTGTCAGTGGTGATAGTACAGTAGGCAGATGACAAAAATAAAAGCAAATAATTCCATACAGTAATAAGTGCTATAGAAAAGATAAGATAGGTAGCAACAGATTTACAAGCTGCTTTAATTAGGATCAAAGAATTTAATTTTTTTATTTTTACATCAAAACCACATAGAAAAAAATGATAGATTAATTCCTGAAACACTTAAGAAAATCCAAAGGCTGGTAGAAGAAACATTAAATTGCTTTATGCGAAAAATTTGGGGTTTAAAAGAACAGACCATAGTAGTGTATAAAAAGAGGAACAAACATGAGATGATTTATAACTAAATAACTACATAACAATGAAAAAGTTAAAATTTTGCCAACACGAAGGCTGAAAAGGAGAAATATTGAAATGATAGAGCAATAGACTGAGTACAATCCAAGGTTACTTAGGAACATTTCAAAAGCATTTACTGATAGATAAAATAAAGAACAAAATACAGAAAAGGTAATAAATTATAAAAATCATGAATTACAAAAGCTATGGTCTTGCCGGAAATATGGGCTTTCATGACTATTGGGCTGGGGAATGGAAGACAATAATACACCTCCTTCAACAGGAAGCCAAGCCGAAGCCACAGTTACAGACCGCAAATCCATTCTGTTTCCTCTGTACCTTCTGAAATTCCATTTACATTAAGTAAAATGCATATGAGTGAGGAGAGACACTCCTGCTGTTTTATTCTGCTTTCAATGGTACTCTGTGTTAAATGCTCCATACAAGTAACTAACTATTAATGCTTCCTCCAGAGACAAGCTTCAGTAAGCCCACTGGTAGTCACCATCATTCCCTGAGCTACCTTTTTCTCTCACAGTGAAACAGAGAGTGAGGAGGACCCGACTTGAAATAGTGTGGGAACCACAGGATGAGAGAGACCAAAGGGAAACAATAGTAATATTAAGCCTACCACTTATTCGTTAGGGAAACAGCTCCTTCTTTGCAACCAAAATCTGTGGTGGGTGTAGAAGCACCTGCAGCAAGACTATGAAAATCATAAGGACTCGAAACTGAAGTTACCACTTTGGGTTTTCAGTGTGGGCTGAGAAAGGAAATAAGTGAAGGTGCTACAGTGATTTAGCTGAAAAAACTAAACTCCTACTCCAATGCCCAAGTACTCTGTAGATTTTTTTATTTAAAGATGGAATGAGAAATGGGGCCCAGCTCAAGAGTGGGTCTAGAGGTGCAGGTTCTAAAGCTTTGTAGTGTGAGATAGTCACTTGCGGAAATTGCCGCAACCCGCAGGTCCCTGGGTCCCGATTCAAACCGGGCACAGGGATCTGCAGTAACAAGCACTTCGTGTGATTCTGGGGCAGGTGGTTTTGCAGAGCATGCACCGACAGTGTGCAGAGCCTGTGCTTTATAAAGCAACTAAGGTAGACCCCATTAAAGAAAAAATAGGCGTGAGAACATGAGTCCAAATATTAAAAAAAAGAGAGAAAAATGAGTTTCTATTTCACCAGTGTCATCTCCTTAGTCCTTATTAGTGTGTGTGTGTGTGTGTGTGTGTGTGTGTAGCTAGTTCTTTTATATTCAGACACAATTAAGTAGTATGTCTATTTTCTGTCATTTAAACATTTAAAAACGAGTCTTCTTAGATTCATCAAAAAATGATCGAAGAGCTTATTAATCCACACCCCCATCCAATCTGGGAAAGCCTTTCAGAACTCTCTCCTTGCTTATTTCACTGTATACTTATTTCTCCCAATAACAAAGCAAACACATTTTCAAGGCCATTATGTACCAGGCATAGCTGCTCTAGTCTCTGGGGACACAAGCGTGTGACAAACAGACAGCTGCTCTGCCTAGTGGGAACAGGGTGAAGAGACTCAGCAAACAATATAAGTAAGTGTTTTTAGTGATAAGGACCACGACTAAAACAGGATAACTGGATAGATAGTTGTGTTGGGAGTGGGTGGGGTGAAGATTTATTTAGATGTAGTTATCAGGCAAGACCTTTCCGAGCTGGGACCTAAATAGAGAACAAGAGGCAGTCATCGAAAGACAGAAGAGAAGAGCGTTTCAAGACATGGGAAACAGCAAAGGAAACAAGTTTGACGTGTTCAAAGAATGGAGAAGTCAGCTAGAGCAGCTATGGCCCAAGGCACACGCGACAGCCACAGGAAGAGAGGTTGGAGGGCTGGCAGGGCCAGACCAGACAAGGTTTTGGAGGCCGTGGCAAATATTTTATCCTGAGTGAGACAGGAAAGTAATGCAGGGAGTGCTACCACATGGTATCTTAAAACCATAAGAAAAAAAAAAATTATGTTTTAAAACATAGCATTTGTTTTGCCTGCTGTGGTAACAATAATTTGTATGGAAGCCGGAATGGAACTTATTCAACCTTGAGTTGTTTTATTTTTATCCTCAACAGGCTGTATGTTTGTGTATTTTAGTTTGTGACTTTGTTTAATTTAAAATATCTATATTTATTCTAAATATGCACGCAGACTCAATGAGGGAATTGGACTTAATCAGTGATTTTCAATGAACAGTATGGAGATGTGTAGCACTGCCCCTCAGGAGGGATTATCCAAATTAGCTGAAGAACATTTTTTTCAAACTAGACATGAAAAGGACTGATGAAGCAATTTTTAAAAAGCTTTTAAAACTGAAAATACTGGGTAAAAAAAGTATAGGATTTTCCTCTTTCGTACCAATGCCCCTCATCTCCATTTTACTTAAGCAACCAAGTACTACAAGTTCATGCCAGATCGTGTATTAGCCAAAGGTGCTCTCCTTCTGAAGTCCCGGGTTCTAGGAACCCTCGCTTTGACAGACAATCTCTCTCTAATGTTATTTCTATTAGATGTATAAACACTACCACGCTACCTCAGAATCGATCTCTATATCATTAAAGAGGTGCCTCTGTCAGTTTTTACTACCTGCTGCCAGAAGTAGTTTTTCCTTTAACAGCACTGATGCTGCTTTAGAATGTCAGTGTAGATTCCTTGTTAGACCTGAGGACAGGGAAGGTCTTGCTCGATACCTTGTACAGTGTAGAGGTACTGGAGATTTTAGATTTTTTCTGTGTTATGGTAGCACTACTTCTAATAGGTAGGACAGTATAAGGTTTAAAAACATGGGCATTGAACTTTTAGAAATACATATAGAAATATATCCGATGACATGATGTCTGGGATTTGGTTCAACATACTAAAGGAGTGAGGAACGCGTCTAACATGCATAGCAGCTGACAGCAGCACAGACAGGCCCTCAGAGCTCACACTAATGGGATGCCCTTGAAACAAATCATAAAGAACCAAGAGGGAAGAGCAAAGGTGGTGAATGTGACCCTGGAAGCAAATAACCAAGTGTCTTTGATCACATTTGCGGAGTGCTCAGTGGGGTGGCTTGGCGGAGGAAACGGAATGCTTATCCTGGGGCCTCAATGCAGTCCTGTTGAGTTTTCGTGATGGGTACCGTGAGGCTTCTTGGTTTACCAGATGACCTTCCCCAGACCCTCATATTTCTTGCCGTATTTTGGAAAACACTAATTTTCTATTGAGAAAGGAACTGCAACATCTAGAGGAAATATTTCTATGAAATACACTGGGCAAAGGGGAAAAAAATCTTTATTTGGTCCATTGGTCCTGGAAAATATATGGAGCTTTGATGCCGTCTTGAAAAAGAACAAGGACAAATTGATGAAATAGTTCCTTAGGATTAAAAATTACAGCCTGGGAGGCTTGTTCAGATTTAAAGTCTGGATCAATGCTACTTGCAGTCAGTGGCTGCCCATACCTTGCTCCTCGTGCTGTGGTGTGTTTAGAAGCTTTCCAGACCCCTTGATAGTGAAGCTGAGATGGTGGAGAAAGTGATCTGTGCAGGATCACGAACTTCTGATGCTCCTTCCCCAGAAAAGCAGGCCCCAAAAGTGGCTTTTATAAAATGTAGATGAGAAGACACTGCTCTAATTATTATCTTTCTTTCCAGAATGTTAGCAGTAGCTGCTATGGCTTTAATTCGGAAGACACCAAGGCTTCTCAATCAAGAAGAAATTACAAATAAGACCAAATTCACTAATATGGGTGCACTTACTGGAAATTCTGAACATAATGTGTAAGTTCACACAGCTGGAGGTATTGAAGCTTACTTGGTTGAGCGAATGAAACCTAAACTCATTCAACATAAATGTGGTGGCCTGGATTTAATAATGGCATGAGGAAATCCAAAGGCTGACAGTGAACAAATTATTGGAGTGGATTTACCAGGTGTGATCTGCACACCCACCCTACTCATACCACTTCTACAGCAGATTTCGTGAGGCAGAAATCACATTAGCAATTTGAACGGGGAAATTTTATTATAAAGAATTATTAATAGGAACAGAAGATGAACTAAGAGGGATTAACAGACCCCAAAGAATACTGGATTGGCAAATGTATGGAATAGCCACTTCCTGTATGTAGAGCTGAGGTAGAGTACTTAAAGATAAACTTGGAAGAGGGCCTCTCTCCTTCCAAACCCTCACCACCCAGGGCTGAGTTCAGACTTTGTTGGAGGGGATGTGGCTGTTGCCCACTGGATGGCAGAGAAGCTCACTGAGGAATTACAGGTCAAGGCTGGCACACAGGATCACGGCCTGCTAGAATGCCAGAAAAACGTGCTGGGAGCCTGCTAGCTGGGGTGACAGTGAGATTAGCTAGAAAGCCACCCAGTGGTGTTCCAGCAAAACTTACTACAGAGGTTCCCCCTTATCCACAAGGGATATGTTCCAACCCCCAGTGGATGCTTGAAACCATGAAATACTACGGAACCCTATTTATACTATGTTTTTTCCTACACATACATTATGATAGGGTTTAATTATAAATTAGCCACCATAAGAGATTAACAACAATATCTAATAATGAAGTAGAATAATAACAACAGACTGTAACAGAAGTTATGTGAATGTGGTCTCTCTCTCCAGTAATTTTTATATTTTTCAGGCCAAATCTATTCCTGAATCTGTGTAACCATCCCTTACTTGAAGTAATAGCTCGGTGTTGCTCATTTCAGAGGATCCCTTGATGAAATCTTTGTATAGACTCCATGCTTTCTGGTGTAACACATAGCCATCAATAAGAACACATTTTCTGTCATGTCTTCCACACACAAATTTAATGCATTCTCATCTTAACTAATCACTTTATCACGTACGGTGGCCGAAACTTCTGCAGTTTGTGGTGCAACAGCAAAACTAGCACAAATTTCTTCTTCCTTCTTTATAGTTCCACGAATAAAAGATTCATTTTACTGTAGCTCTTTAGCAACTTGAGAACATGATGGTTTTTCTTATCAAGTCAAGAATTTTCATCTTTTCACTTAAAGGAAGCACTTTATGGCTTCTCTTTGGCATATCCAAATTGCCAGCATCACCACTCTTGCACATTGGCGCTATTATTAAGTAAAACAAGGGTTACTTGAACACAAGCACTGTGATGCCCTAACAGTCGATCTGATAACCAAGAGGGCTACTAAGTGACTAACAGGCGGGGAGCCTATACAGTGTGGAGATCCTGGACACAGGGACGATTCACGTCCTGGGAAGGATGAAGCAGGACAGGGCAAGATTTCATCACACTACTCACAACAGCACACAATTTAAAACTTACGAATTGTTTATTTCTGGAATTTTCCATTTAATATTTTCAGATGGTGGTTAACCACAAGCAACTGAAACTGCAGAAAGCAGAGTTGTGTGTGGATAAGAGGGAATTAGTGTAACAAGTTGCCCACTGGGATACCAGTGAAATTCGCTGGGTGGTGTACCTGACTGGGTCTCCTACGCACAACTGCGGAAAAGTGGCCAACTGGCAGCCACAGCATAAGAGCAAGAAGAAACAACTGGAACCAGGCACAGAAACCCCTTCTTCTTCTAGTGTCTCTCTAGGACCCCTTATTGACTTGTTCCAAGTGGCAAAAAAGAAAAGGCTGAATTTAGAACTGAGGGGCATTAAATTGATACCCTGTGCCGTCGGGGATATAACAAAATAAAATTGGTCATGAGGTGATAACTGTCGAACACGAATAATGATTACACAGGATTATTATGCTATTCTATCTACTTCATGTATTTGAAATTTTCCATTAATTTGTTTTGCTTTTGTTTTCCTAAAGCATGGACTCTGGAGTCAACCTGCCTGACTTCAAATCCTGGTCACTTACTGGCCAACC